TGTATACTTGTTTCGGCTATCTCCTTTCGTTCATCTTTTCTATATGTCCAAACCATCTCAACATACCTAACCACTGCACAATGAGACTGCTGACTGACTGGCTCACTCAACTTATGCATGAATCGCGCGCATCTCCTGTCGCCTGACCGACCGACTGACCGACCAACACCCCCCACTTCTTCTAATGCCACTTCTTCAAAATAGACTCGCCCAGGCCGAAAACCAACTTCTGCACATGGGCCACGAAGTTTCAGTCGCACTGTACGTGCACACCCACACGTGGTATTTTGTGGAAGAGCCACACTCAAGGGGCCAAAGAGCCGCGGTTTGCCAACCACGGGTCTAGGACAAAGGACATTTTTCTACCACATGGAAAGATTGGGAAGGCCCTGGCCAGGTGGCTCAGTTGGTTGGAGCATCATCCCACACATCAAAAGGTTGCGGGTTCAATTCCTGATCAGGACACATACCTAGGTTGTGGGCCCCATCACTACTCGGGGTGCATACGGGAGGCACCAGATCCATGTTTCTCTCCCATCAGTGTTTCTCTATCTCTCTCTGTCTCTCCCTTCCTCTCTCTCTAAAATGAATAAAAACATATCCTCAGCTGAAAATTAAAAAAATAAAATAAAAAGTAGGTAAAATAAAAGGTTGGGCAGTACTGAGATATAAACGTGCCCTGCAGACTGCCTGGCGCACAGTCGGTGCTTGTGACGTGCGCGTTGCTCCCTTTACGTAATGTCTGTGCTTCGGCCGCACTGCTCTCCTTGCCGGCTTCCCGCTGTTAGGTTTTGCTCATGTGCGTCTCTATCCCACACCCCGAGTCTCGCGTACGGAGACCATTCATTCACGTCTGCGTCTGACACGCAGGACACACGCAGGGTCTGCCCCCTGAACGGCGGAAACTGCCAGGATGTCAGGCGGATTCGGACCCCGGCAGCCGCCTCACCTTCTGCTAGAACCCGTGTAACCTGGAGAACGCCTGCTCCGCGGGGTCGGCAGCCACTTCACAGATTACAGATGGGAACTGAGGACGCCAGCAGACCAGGAGGCAAGGCTTCCAGAACGTTCCACCTCCCACTCCAGAATGGAAACATAACCAGGGGAAGCAGGGCGTGCCGGCGCCCGCGGCCTACCTGGTAGCGGGGGTGGAAGCCCATGTACTGGTGGCACTGCTCGCAGTGGTGGTAGGTGTTGTGGGCCGCGTACTTGGACAGCCGCATCCGCGCCGTCTGGCGCCGCACAAACAGGTCCTCGGGCTTCCTGGGCGGCCCCCTGTCTGCAGGGAAGCCAGCGTCACGGAGCCCCTCCCGCCATTCACACGGACACCAGCCGAAACGCTACTGTGGGGTGAAGACGGCGGACGAGGGTGGCCCCAGCCCATCTGGGACCCGCGGGGACTCAGCGGCTCAGACATGACAGTCTCCGTGGGACACACTACAGACTGTCCACCCGTCATGTCATACGTGAGCCCGTGAATGTTGGATCAACGTTTACTCGAGGACTCGCTACATGACAACTGATCACCGGTGCAACACGCAAAGACTGCAATGCGGGTGAAGTGCCCCATCTTTCCAGTGACTTAGCAGGAGTAAGAGTCCAGCACTTGGCTTTCGTTTGAGACGCACCTCCATGAGAAACCCCCAGGGACTGAGAGTGAGGGACCCCCAGGGACTGAGAGTGAGGGACCCCCAGGGCCTGAGAGTGAGGGGCCCCCAGGGCCTGAGAGTGAGGGACCCCCAGGGACTGAGAATGAGGGATGCCCAGGGACCATGAGGGACCCCCAGGGCTTGAGAGTGAGGGACCCCCAGGGACTGAGAGTGAGGGACCCCCAGGGACTGAGAGTGAGGGACCCCCAGGGACTGAGAGTGAGGGACCCCCAGGGACTGGGAGTGAGGGACCCCCAGGGCCTGAGAACCATGGAGAGAACATTCTCATCCGATGGCCACTGGTGATGCCCTCCTCTCACTCTGCATTCCCCAAGCTTTCCCGTCCGTGTTTACAATCACACCGGCCACTAACACTGTGTCGGCTGATGGGGACCCTGAACCACCACAGGTGATAACACGGTGATGGTCAGAGGTCCCTGCAGGAGGAGGGGGAGAACACGAGACCGAGGGAGCAGAGGGCATACGAGCATTCTGTTACCACAATCCCATTCATAAAGATACGTGTCGCCCTGGCCAGTCTGGCTCAGTGGACAGAGCGTCAGTCTACAGACTGAAGGGTCTGGGGTTTGATGCCAGGCAAGGGCACGTACCTCAGTCACAGGCTTGATGCCCGGCCCTGGTCAGGGCGCCTGCGGGAAACAACCAATCAGTGTCTCTCTCTCTCACTCTCTGCCTCTCCCCTTCCCTTCCATTCTCTCTAGAAATCAATGGAAAAATGTCCCCAGGTGAGGACTAACAGCAAAAGGATACACGCCTTGTATCCGCTCTTAACCGAGACCTTCAGCACATCCTGACCGTGACACAGCCCAGCCCGTGTCCTCCGCGTCCCCACTGCTCGCCGAGCAGCGAGTCTTCCTTCCTGGTCCCCTCAGAGGCCTCCCGGCCCGGGAGGTGCGGCCTCCGCTCCGTGCCGGGTGCTGCCCTCGCTCAGGGCCCCCAGGGGACGGAGCACATCCCTCACACGCACGGCTTCTCCCTTCCAGAGGCTACTCCCGTGCATGCCCTGGGAGACATGCAGAGCCTGACCTTCGCTCTTGGCACCCTGGTGGTGTGAGCAGATGAGGCTGGCGTCTTCGTACTTGGGGTCGTGGACCGTGTAGTCGAAAGGCAGCTTCCTGAAGAGCTCCAGGTCCGGCCAGGGGTCGCTGAGCTGGAGGTAGCGCCACTCGGATTCCTCTCGGAGGTCTACGGGGTCGGGAGACACGGGGGACACGTGACAAAACGGGAACAGAGAGCGGCTTCAAGTCCCGCCTTCGTTCTCGGTCTCTCCAACAGAAACAACGTTCCACACTGTGGGGACCGTGGGAAACCCAGAGGCGGAAGGAGAGACCCAGCTGCAAGGGCTCCCATGTTCCGAACTCCCCCCGAAACAGAAGCAGAGTCAGAGCATCTGCAGGAGCTGCGTGAGGACATGGGGGACCCCTCTCCTAAGGCTGAGTGATACTCGACTGCGTGTGTTAGGACCACGGGCCATCGGATCCCTAACAGCCACTTGTCAGCTTCCCGCCGCAGGAGATGGAAGAGCAGCAGGAAAAAGCCAGCTGGACCCCAGGGGTCAGACCACGCCAGGAGCGGAAGCTGTCCTGCAGGCACCTGGCCGCCCGCCAGCATCCCATCCGCATCCCAGGCCACCAGCTCCGCCCCCGGACCCACGGGGGACCAAGCGTCCGCCCTGCCTGCGCGCGAGGATGGAACTCACCGACATTGATCTCTTCCTCGTCGTACACGTCCACCTCCGTCAGCCGGATGAGCATCCGGGACAGGATGCTGAGGAACTGCAGGTAAGCGCCCGTCTTCCCGATCTGCGAGCACAAGGGGGTGGGGTCCGTCAGCGCACCCGTCTCCGCGCCAGGAGCACCCGCCACGCCTCATGGCACCTCCCTCTTTTATGAAAACTTTTTTAAAGTCCTCACCCGAGGATATTTTCCCATTTTAACCCTCCCCCAAGGATTTTTTTTCATTGATTTTTAGAGAGAGGGAAAGACAGACAGAAACATCCATGTGAGAGAAACGCATCGACGGGCTGCCTCTGGCATGCGCCCCAACCAGGGTCCAGGCCGGGGAGGAGCCTGCAACCAAGGTACGTGCCCTTGACTGGAATTGAACCCGGGACCCTTCCATCCGTAGGCCGAGGCTCTATCCACTGAGCCAAACAGGCCCGAGGAGGCACCTCCCCCCTTTAAAGATCTCGCCTAATTAAAACGAGAGCCGGCGGGTGCAGAGACAGCCGAGGGGCAATGGGGCTACCGAGGTGGGGCAGGTGGGCAGGTGGGCGGGGGGACTCCCCAGCCAGGGGCCTGCCTGCGTATAAACCATGCGAAGGTGTCTCCGGTTTTAACGGCGGCATTTTTTAAGCCGCTGGAAATAGGACATGGGCATGAGCTGAAGAAAGGCTGCTTCGGAGAAAAGAAACTGCCAACATAAAACATTTCTTCAGTCTGGCATAACTGCAAACACTAGTCTTGTCTTCATCGATACGTCTAGGGTAAGAAAACAGAATTCGTCCCGCAAGACCTAGAAAGGCCGCATCTCCCCCAAGCCCCGGAAGAGAGAGCAAGCAATTCTTCTCTCCTTCCTTCTCTTTCTTGTCGCGTCACGGAGTCCCTGCCCCTCAGGCGAGCGCCGGGCGAGGTTACGATTGGTCACAGCTGGTTAAACGGGCACCTGCTGGGTCCCCTACAAGGCTGGGATCCTGACAACCTCCTACCTCCCACTTCCGTGTCCCCCAATCCTCCGGTGTGAGAGCGCAGATCCCACAGCCGGGCCCCAGGCCCAGGGAAGTGACATGGAAAATGCCGAACCGCAGTCTGAGGCCGAGAGGCACCCCGAGAACCCGTCCGCCCCCCGCATCATGTGGAGGAAACGGAGATGAGAGGACGGAAGTCACCAGGCCCTGACCCCTGTCCACCGCCCACATGGGGCCATCACAGAAGCTTCCACCGCGAGAATGGCAAGATGCAGAAGGGGGTGCCGTCAGCCCTACGCTGCCTCTGGGCCTGAGCACAGACCCCCACCCCCTGAGTCCAGGCCGAGGTGAGTGCCCTCACCTGCGGGGGCCCGCTGAGCAGCAGCCTGCGCGGGTGGAAGCCGTCCACGCAGCCCTCGGCGCGGTTCCCGTAGTCCATGTGGCTGGGCCGCGGCACCGTCCACTGGCGGTAGTACAGGGACTGCTCCGTGGACGTCATGGTCTTGCTGAGCAGGGGCCGGAAGGAGCTGGCCCACACGACCGAGGGCGAGGGCAGGAGCGAGGCGGCCTTGGGCAGGCCGCTGCTGTCGGTGGATGTGACCATGTCGTACACCAGCTTGGGCAGGAAGACGACGTCTAAAAGGTGTGGAGTTTGATATTTTGGAATAATACAGATATTCCATAATTAACTGAGGTGATAGGACAACTCTCTTCTAACTATGTTAAATGACCTCAGGAGGGCCGCAGGGCTGCGGGGATCTGGTCTGCTCCCCCTGCGGGGGGCCCCCGGGCGGAGCCGAGGTCTCACCACCGAGCGCAGAGCCTGGGGAGAGAGGACCCCGTCGGCCACATGGGAAGGACCCTCCCTGAGACCTGTCGGCTGCCTGCGGCTGAGGCACTAACTCCCTTCACTTGACAATCACCCGGCATTTCTGTCAACGAAACTCTACCTCTGATTAGACATAACCCCTCCGTCCTACGACAAACCCAAGACCTGCTGCGGGAGACAGCTGGGGTCCCCGCGGGGTAGGAGCCCCGCCCCATCTCAGAGGCCTTTCCATCCCTGCCTCGCCCGGTCCAGCCACAAAGCCCTCACCCTCAGTGCTCAGCCCAGGCTCATGCACCGCACCGGCTGCTTCCAGCTGGAGTGGCAGCGAGCCACACGCGACTCAGCAGGCTGCATTCTCTCTCTCTCCCCCCGCCCCACCCCCTCTAAAAAACAACACAGCAGCCCGGTGGCAACACAACCTGGCCACAGGAGCCAGGGATTGTTCGGGAGCACCTATGTAGAACCTATTTTAAAGCCCGCATTCAGACATCAGCAGGCTCTCGGTGAACACTGGTGCTACTGTGCGTGGGTCCCGCCTGCTCGCAGAGACTCCGACAACCCTGAGGGCAGAGACTTTGGGGGTTTTATCCACACTCCCCTCTCCCTCCGCCCATGAGCATCTGGCCCCTCAGTCTGAGAAGCCCTGGGCCTGTCGGCTTCTCCCCAGTGATTCCGCGTCTCCCTCCCCGCACTCCAGACCACGCGAACACGTCACCTTGCTCCTGTCTCCCGATTATCCAAACCTGGCGCCTGAGTGCGAGGCCCTCTGCCACCACCCACAGGCCCTCGCTGGGGACGGGCCCACAGCGTCCAGGAAAGGAGCCGCCAGCCTCAGGTCCTGCCCAACTCCTCCCGGCCCCCGGCCCCAGCCCAGAAAGCCAGTTCTTCCAAGTCCCCCCTTCCCAGTCCCAGGGAAAATCCAGGCTCTCTCCATCCACGTCCGAAATCTCAGAGCAGCCTAGCGTGGGCTCTCCCCCGGGGCTTACCGGACGCCTTGGAGGAGCGGCCGGAGGAGGCCGAGTCCCGGGAGCCGGACCGCTCCCTCTTCACGGGGCTCTTCTTCTCCGAGGTGGAGCCTGTGCCCAAACACACACCCTGAAAACACCCGCGATCGCCGTCCCGCAGGGTCCCCCAGAGCTTTACCAACTCCACTCACACCTCCCCTCTCCCCCAATCCGCGTACCCATCCATCCGTCCACCCACCTTCCAGGTGCCCGCCTCTGACTGGGCGCCCGCCTCTGACTGCACGGAGAGGACAGGAGGTGGGAGGGGCAGGGAGGGCAGCTACAAGATGGCATAGATGGGCAGGGACGGGGCTGGGAGCCCCAGCCAGGCTCCCACGCAGGACAGAGGCAGGAGCAGGAGGGGAGAGGAAGGGAGAGGTGACCCCGCCCTGAGTCCTAAGGGCCAGCAGGGCTTCCGGAAAGCAGA